CTTCTTTTTTGCACCTGTCAAGGTTGCAATTTTACATTTATTTATGTGATTATGTAATTATTTCTTGCCAACTCCATTAAAATGTACCACATCTGCTCTTACCTGACATATAGTAGGTTATCTATATGTCCTTGATGAATGGATGACTGATGCACAGGTGTTGATTATAACCAGAAAGTCATAGGCACAAAGATGAATATAGCCTTTGATTTAGGCAGGAGTAGAAATGCTGGTGGTATCTCAACACAAAGAGATGGAAGATGGAAAGAGAAGTTACACCACACTTGCTGGAAAGCATAAATTTGCTTGTATTGGACTTCGTGATTTAAGTCAAGGCCAGGTCTGATCCAGAGAAAATGCCTATGTAGCTCAGTAGTAGAGCTCCCATGGGTTCTATCCGAGTAACACACACACACACACACACACACACACACACACACACACACACACACAGATGCCGACTACATAATAAATGTAAAACTGAAGGTTGTAATCACAGTACTGTGATACATTTCTATTTGGCAAACACATCATCCCAGAAAATTCAAATGCTAGAGAGTAAAGGAATTCACCGTGTTTTGTCCTCTGTCACCAGAATAAAATCTCAAACATACTCATTACCGAAAAGACCATATCATCTCTTTCCCTTTAGTCCATGTTGATTTTACTTGTAATTCGCAGTTTTAGGGACATAGATTCTTTTTCCTTCATGTGATCTATTCAAGCCACTGCCGTGCCGAGACATTCTTAACATATATCTAATATAAATTATTCAAAGGCAAATAAAGCATGTTGAAAAGCAAAACAAGCAGAGCAACGCAGTAACTAAATGGTTGTTGGCAAGGTACTGAAATTCAAGAGATCATATTAATTCTCCAGAAGAGAATGTATGGCAGTATCTTAACTGTAAATTTCTTCTCTCTGGACCTCAATGGATCTATAGCAGAACAGCTGGGTAGTATAAGCAGGCATATTCCTGGACCCAGATCTTCAGCATCCCCAAGAGGTGATAACAAAGATCTGAATTTTAACAAGCTCCCCAGGTAATTCTCACACACAAGGTTTTAAGAAGTACCGGCCCTGGAAGAGTAACAGATCAACAGAGGGCATAAGACTGTGTCTGGGGAAAAGTCAGCATTATATTATAAAAGTGAGAAGAAGGGAAACCTACAAGAGACCAAAATAGCAGCTGGAGTCAGGGCACTGTTTTTATGAGCTGAGGATAATTAAAATTTAAAACCAAGTAGATGGTCAAAAGTGTGAAATGTAACAGAAATATCATGAAAAAAGATGGACAAAAGTCACTGAATATAGGACAAGGGTCGAGTGTGGCCTTTGCATGTATTTCTAGTAAAGTGATGACAGAATGCAGATTTTTCTGGACCTTGACCTGTCCTTCAAGATCGGATCAAAACAGTGCCTCCCAGCGATGCAGTTCCTGACTCTGAAGTACAGTCTGTCAGTCTTAGAGTATGTAATTGTATTATATCAGTTCTTTATTGCACTGAAGTTCGTTTACCTGTTCTTGTTCGTTTAGAATGAAGGCAGAAGCTGTGTCTTTTTCTCTATTTTTGTGTCTTTGTTAGCTTTACTGAGATATAATCGGCAAATTAAAACTCTATGTATTTATGGTATACAACTTGATGTTTTCATAAGTAGCTGTGTCTTGTTCCCTTTCAAATCTCTACCGTCTAGCACACTACCTGGAACACAGAAGATATCTGTAAATGTGTGCCGAATGAATGATTGGAGGCAAAGCCCACATTCCTGAAGTGAAAGTAGATGAATTTTATATGTTTGAAGGCAGATGAGATTAGAACAACTGATGCTGCTGGAACAAAGACTAAGTAGGAAACCAGTTCTTACAAAGCATGGAAGAGATGTGATTAAAAGTACAGCTTTCTTTTTAGAAAGCAGGAGATAGCCCAGGCATGGTGGTGTTCACCTATAATCCCAGCTCTCTGGAGGCCTAGGAAGGAGGATCACCGCAAGTTTGAGGCCAGCCTAAATTACAAAGGGAGACCTTGCCTCAAAAAAGTTGCTAAATGGATGCACATTGAGGCTATTCTCTTAATAATAAATAGGACACACTTGAGTAAATACTGAATAGGTTCTCTGGTGTAAAAAACTAAAAGGGTAAATAAGGTTCAAACGGTATAATTGAGAGGGTGAAATAGGAAGAAAATAGCTAAAGGGGAAGTGGGAAGGTGAGGGGAAAGGTATGGGAAAAGAAAAAATGGAAACAAAGTCTTTATAAATAGGGAAGGGTGGAGGGGATGAAAGGAGAGCAGGGGAATGGGGAAAAACAAGAACCAAGATACATCATGTAAAAGTGCAAGATCCCAATGATAAATGTAACTGTATTGTTTGCTTTAAATCTATCAATAAACTTAATGGGGGTAAAAAAGAAAGAAAGTAGGAAACAGGCCTTCTCTCTCCTAGTCTTAAGGAAGCCTAAAAGAGCGGGTGTACAAGATAAAGTAGCTTAGCTCAGATGACCCTTTTCTAAATAAGTCATGAAGTTAAGGCTTTTGCTGAGAATGAGGTACAAAAAATGGGACATGGAGCCTGAAAAAAAAAAGAGTACAAGACTACTAGAAGTATACCCGTGAATCATTAAGAGAGTAATAGATTCCATGTTCTATTCCCAGGTGTTAACATCATCTCACTCCATTCTGTAGCCTTTGAAATAACAGACTGCATCTGTCAGTCATGCTAATTGGGACTGGATATCAGACATGCGCTTGAAAATATCAAAGTCACTGATCTCTTCCTCTCCTGAACTCTTTCTGCATTTCCTTTTCAGTGTTGAACACTCACTGCGATGCATCTCCTATTATAGCTATTTGTTTTTTTCTTGCTAGACTCTAAAGAGTTGAAGACAAGAGTTATATCTTATTCAGTGTGTTGTACCTTAGCATTTTACTTTGTACATAATAGCCAGGTGTCTGTATTAGGCACATACCTCAAATATAGCATTTATCACATCATATTGTATTTGTTTGCTTGTCTGTCTCCCCTTTTAGACCATGAGTTCAAGGCAGGGACTGAGTCATATTGATCTATGTCTCCCTTTGGGACTTAGTAGTTTTGCAAATGTTTATTGAATCCAATTGTGTTGAATGTGCAGATGAAAGAATGAAGAAAACAGAAAAATGTGAGGATTTGAGGGTAACATAAAAAGACAACACACTGCACAGGCACTGCATTTTGTCACTTACATAATCATTTGTCTCAGCCTATAAAGCTGGCAGAAAATGACGCTGGGGGACCTGTTTCACACACACTATAAATGTTTGGTATATACATTCTGGGTCTTCTTATGCGAATCTCTAACCATCCCATTTACAGCACAAAGCTTCGGTAAAAGGACTAAAGTTCCTCAAAGCTTCATGACTGATTTCTCTTCCCTTGTTGGGTACCTATTTGAATAGGATCAATGTTACACCACTATAGTAACAGCTTCCTTGTGTGTTATAATTTAAGGATGACATTATAGTGGAAAAAAAAACAGGTTAGTGAAACAGTGTAGAAACAGCATAATAGAAATCCACCCCATTACAAGAAAAAAACTACTTGAAGGGCATCTTTAAATGTTCACCGGTTTGTTAGGGTTTTTTTTTCCCCATTCTCTTTTTAAAAGACTGATGTACATTCTATTAGTCCAGTAGAAAATAACAAAAGCCAACCCTTACAGAGGGCTTATTATGTGACAGACTTTATTCTATGTAAATTACACACGTTACCTCATTTCTCAGAGAAACATTTTGAGATGGGTACCACTGTGATCTCCATTTTGGACGAGATGAATCCAAGGGACAGAGAGGTAATTTAATGTGATCAAGGTCACAGAACTAGAAGTAGAGGAGCTGATTCAAACCTAAGCAGTCTGGCTCCAGTACCCTTAAAAGGAAAGCACTGGTTTCGGTGTTTAGTTTACCTGTGCGCGTTTTAAAGAAAATTCCTTATCTATTCTTAATATGATAATCCCAGCATTTGTAGAATGCCTGTTTTATGTCAGGAAGGATAATACACGCTTTCGCTGCGTTCTCTCATTCTTCTTCACAATAAACCCGCGAGGTACTATTTTTATCCCCACTTTAAGGCCA